CAAGAAGTCCTTGGTGAAAGGAGGATGGGGAAGTATTACCGGACATCTGCGTCTTTTATCACTTAATGAACGAAGGTGGTGTGCACAAGCACAAAGCACACACCAACAGCCAGATAGACTCCATCTCAATTGGAACATAGTTGGTTTGATGCCATCTGTTAGATGCATAGTAGAATAAAGGAACATATGTGGGCTAAGACCGTTATCTAGTGCAAGTTAATTTCATGGCAAAAGCGGAGGCCTTCAAAACAGTTGGAGATAGACAATAATTCAAGTCGAACATTGAAAAAATGTGTTACGAAACTAAAAAATACACCCTCATCGCGTCCATCAGAGTGAAGTTGGAGACTCCTAATTCCTTTACTATCTCTCCTCTGTTACGTTTTTATTTCTTTTCCACCTCATACTTTTTACTATGGGTATGCTTGAATACTTCATAACCTTGACATTGTTTGTCACTAAAGTTTAACTCACTTAATGTATTAATATTCTGTTTGAAGCATAGTAACTTTTCCTATAGTTAAGCATTACTTGCTGTATATAATTTATTTATATAGCTTTCTGTTTTGGACATTGTGTATTTGAATGTCAGCTTTCCTTGTTTGGCATTCGCGCACTGTTTAATCAAAACATGAATCGTCTTTTTTATTATTACAGCTTGATTCCACACCGCAATTTTCGGCACTAGTATGGAATTTTCAGCATGTGATATCGGTAGCCCAAATTTTGCAGGCCGACCATTGATATCAGGTGTGCGTCGACAGGGGATCGAACCCCGGACCATGTACATGGTCGGCGACAGTCCTAAACACTGTGCCACTGACGCTCACACACACAGCTTTGCTGTCTTTCCTATTGATGCAAAGTGATTGGCATTCAGACACGCACACCTCACAACTGGAGGTTCGTATATCATATTTCATTATTTGAAGTATAATATAGCACGGTGTTTTAGACAAATCATGTGTTTTTGGCCTTTACGCCTTACTTTCCGTGTGGTTTTTCAAATAGAGTATTGGTGAAACAGAAGATAAATCAATTTAGAGACAACGTAAGGAGAAGTTGGGTTCAGTCTACAATGAATTGAGTGAAGAATTGAAGAAGGGTGAAGAAGAAGAAGACAAAAGACAACTCCGCGACACACTGGAAACTAAAGTACTACCGAGCGCAGGTAAGACAGACCTCAAAACTTCATATCAAATAACTACATCTCTATCCGTGGAGATATCAGTACAGATAAAATCAATGTAAGCTAGAGTAGAGAACCTAATTACTAGAAAGAAGAAGCATATTACGCGATGGATAGATCACTTTGAATGACTCTTGGAATGACCACCACTTATAACTGACCCAGTAATATAACCAACAACTACAGAAATGTTAGTGACCACCAGTTCTCCATGAAAAGTGGAAATTTTGAATGATACAAAGCTACTGAGAGTCAGGCAGAATGGCGGAGCGACCAGACTGAATTCCACTGGGATCGCTGAAAACGGATTGGAAGATATCAGTGGATACATTCATATCACCATGGCAAAATGTTTGGAAGGAGGAAAGGTACCTACTGATTGGAGATAAGGCTAATTTGTCAAATTGGAAAAAGAACAACAAACCTAGCTGTTGCAAGAACTGGCGAAGAAGCATGCGTTGGACAAATACAAAATGTCTGGAATATCTGGAATGTGCCGAGGATTTATCTCTACTGTCACACAAACGCTAAGATCCACAAGCGAAAACCTACAAGTTGGCAGATGAAGCAGAGCAGACAGGAATTCAAGTGAACTTAGAGAAGACAGAAATCATGAAGATAACTAGGCATCACTACCAACAACAAGCACCAATCTCCATCAAAGGGAAAAATTTGAAGGATATCACTTTTTTCACTTATCTAGACACCATTCCACTTACCACAGGTGGAGGCACGTATGACAACGTCAAAGCCAGTCAGGGTCGGATAAGCCAGAGAGACCTCCATTAATCTGAAACCTATCAGGGAATCTGCTGCACTCAACATAAACAACAAGATTCAACTCTGGTGTCAAGTCCATCAGTCAGTCATTGCTTCTGTATGGTTCAGAGACTTTAAATGCGCATCACCAGACGCATTTATAGAAGCCTGCTTCAGATATTTTTCAACAGCTGCCTTCTCTGGTCTCACACCGTGCATCAGATAGTTGGACTGAAGTGATAAGTGACAGGGACCTCTACCATCCAACGTACCAGGTGCCGATCACCCAACAAATACAAGAAGGGAAATGTGAAGATTTATTGAATATACATTTAGTACTTTTGAGTCAGTTGGAACAACCTGCTAGTAAGTTAGCGAACGTAGCTCATTCAGAAATAAAGAAATATTGCCTTCGCATCAACAAAACACTCAAGTATGTGGTACATGGCTCACAAATAAGGCTTCAAGTCTATTCTCCTGTATACAGCATCACGTCTGATGCTTGATTTATAGTCAGATGGAGGATAAAAAAGAAAAGATGGACTGGTCACGCGCTGATTAGATTATTGACTGACATCACTCTCCATAACATCGCTCGAATCGTAACTGAATATGAAACTGTGAGTAGGTCATGTGACTGAGAATGGCAGGGGAGAGATCGAGTGAGGAGAAGACGACAGCTTATGACCGATCGTGGGGCCAAGTGAAGAACACGTGCTGACAGCAGCATGAAATTGCGACGTGCTGCTGAAGCTCAGTATTCTGCTAGGAACCCAAAGGAATAATAAAACAATTACTATATTTTTCTTAACAGTGTTTAGACATGGTAGAAATGTTACAGATATGTATCAAGGTAAATGTCAGTGTTATTTAAAGAAATCCTGAACATTACAACGAATCACTAGACAGTAGTTTTGTCTTTCTCTGGAATCCATCACAGACACACAACATTCACACCTCAATTGAGAGTATCTCCAGACTTCAGCATACGCAAAAAGCATGTTCAACATTCAGATAGTGTTGTCCAGTATTCAGTAGTGCTTCAGTTGATGTCGAGACATGAAGAAAATCACTATGTAGTCAGTCATATCCCGGACTGTAACCACAGTGTCGCCTAGATTCTAGATAATCAGTTGACTTGCTTCGTCACTCCATAAATGGTTGACATAGGTTTGTATACTCAGGTGAATATGAGCATTCTCACTGGTGTTGATAGAAATGTCATTCTGATGTGCTACAACAAGGATGACACGAAGGAGAGTGAGATCATAATATTCACATGAACCTCATTTAGATATTGATTATTTTACCTTCTTCCATCAGAGTAAATCTTCAACTGAAAAGAATTACTGGCTTCACCGCTGATACACCATCAACTGCTTGGTATCAAATAGATTCTGTTGCACTGTCAATTTATTTGATTCGAGCATTTACCTCTCGAAAATCGCTTTAGACATACACATTTGCATCAGCTACTTAGAAACTAGTGGTACACAATTGTTGTATTTGGTGAATACAAACAGTGATTTGTTTCAACTAACTACTGAACAGAAAAGGTTCATTTGACATGAAAGATTATGTGATTTCAGAATCGCTTATCTTTCATGCACAACCTCCATTTTATTAATATGAAAAGAGAATGAAAAAACTGTGGTGCAGAACAGCATTACCCCACTTAATTTCATAGGTTCTCTTCAGCTAAATACAAACTGTAACATTTAATAAAACAAGTTGTAAGACAACTTTAGCATTCTTATCTTTACCAACACGATTAAGTCCCCGGGTGTTAACAGTTACAAGAACATTATAGTAAAATACAGCATGAGGATGATAATTTATCTCTAAATGTTCCAACATATATATATATATACATGGTTGTACACTAGTTACTAGTGTGCAGTCAGAGTATCCAGTACAGTCCTACAGAAAGTCAATCGCGAGCTCGAATAGCTCAGTGGTAACGTCTCTGACTGCACCACTGGGTGACGCGAGTTCGAATCTCAGAAGGGACATGAGTTTCTTCAACGTTGCAGATACACCTTGCTGACAAGTGCCAACTAGAACGAAATCTAGGTTCAAGACTTCCTGCCGACTGTCTCCAACTATCTAATATCATCATATACACGCATCAGAGGGAATACGTTTCTCGTGAGCAAATAAATAAATTTGTAGTGGAGACATTAAAAATAAGTATTGTAAGTTAGTATTCACACACAGTCAACTACAGTGAGCAGAAATTAATAGAGAGAACAGTCGAAGACGTCTTCAGTTTATAGAGGCTATCTCAAATAATACGGATGAAATCTCACATATGTCTTAAAATAGATGGCGTTGTTCGATCACAATTACCCTAGTAACTTCCTCTTTAGTAATTCTTTGTCTTGTGATCTCATCACTCTGCTTTATCCCATCTCTCGTTTGATTCTCATATATAATGTGACTGAATTTCCGATGCTCTGAGTTCTACTCACCGTATTGCATCATCATTTCTTCAGTAGACTTCTTACACACTAAATTTCCACGTTTCTATCTTATGAGTCCTAATCATTTTTATTTTTTTATGTCTGACTACGTAAAACTTGCTTTCATTGTTTCCACTTCTAAGAAGAAAACTATTTATTTGTTTTTTATGAGAAAATGTCCTCTTATAAGACATTATTGTATTGTCATACTTTCAGAAATCTTATTATCTTTACGTTGTATTTCATTATGAGATTCTCACATTGACTCTTACTCAAGGATTGAAGCCTACTGAACAAAATGAACATGTTGAATTTGCTACATATTTGTTCTGTTAAATCATACATGTTGTCAGGCGTTGAAGAGAACCTATTGAACTCAATGGATCCATGTTATTCTACACAGGTCAATGATTGTTCTGTCTAGGTGTTCTGTGTCGTTTTCTAAATTTTTTGTGATTGTGACCAATGAGGATGAGCACAGGAATCTCATTGTGTCAAATAGTGATTTATTCTTCACGGAATTTACTTCTTATTAATTGGCTGGTTTTTCTATAGCTAATCACGAATTAGCAGAACTTACTGATTAACTACTAGTGTTTATTGTATAAGATAACACGAAGTGGTGATGCCATCTCTCACCATTTGTGGTAATTCTCTCCACAAAATCGGAGAAGAAACGATGAGGTAATTTTAACATTCCGATGAGTTTCATACTCTTCTCCTGTTGCATACTAGTCAGCCATATCCTTCCATAACTGATGTTTCAATTATTTTCCATTGTTTTCCTTAACAACGCAGACAGACGCGAAATACTCTGTATTCTGTATTATTCATTGGATTGTATTTCGTTGGACTATCATTTGCAGAAGCGTTTATAGAACTGAATGACATAGCAGATCTCGTTCAGAATGTAACGAAGGCACGAATTGCACCTAATTTTGGACGACATGGACCAGTAAGTGGAAGAATTCCATCCATTTATTTTTCTATTACAATAGAAGTCGAGTTATTATTACACCCAGAATAAGAAATATAATCAGTCAGCTCCAATTGCATTTGAAACTTTTTATAAATTTTCGTATGATGTTCCACAGGAATTGGTAAGTCAATCATAGTTTATGCATAAAACAAAATATTAATCAAACCTCTTAATGTACAGTATATGCGGACGCGATTTATAATAAAATATTACGGTGAAGAGTATAAATCAGTTGGTATATTGGCGACAGGTAAATTAATATATTTCATTGATTGATTGGATTAAGACACTGTGACAACTAATTTTATTTCAGTTTTGGTAATCACACGAGCATGTATTATTATTATTAAGTGCACAAGTTTGTTACAATATGGGCACCAAGAGATGGACCACACAAAACTAGTGAAACAAAAGTATATAGGGAATATGGGAGTTTGGATGAATGAGGGAGGTCAACTAGAAAGAATGTAAGAGTACTTATCGAAATCACTGAACACTCATCACTTCATATTGCTTTCGGAGAGTGAATAAGGAAGAAAATTGCAACATGATCGCGATTGATTGCGATTCTTAGCTGTATTTGATACCGTCTCCAGTCCCCGATTAGAATTATCTCTCAGAGCCCACCCATGGAGTCTTGGTATTTCAACGGATGCTGACCTATGACGAATATTCTTCATCCCATCTCCCAGGATAACTAATCCTCCTATTTCTCCATCCACTTCCAGTGATAGAAGGCGGAAATCGTTATAGGGGATCCTGGGGGTGATATTCATGACAAATGTCTAAGCGACTGGAGTCAGTATTTCGAAATAACCATACTGAATAAAAGGCAGTTTCCACTGCCAGACCTCTTAATTACTAACACGATGATGCTATCGGATGCAAGCAATTCTGCAAAGTCAGTGATGGTCAAATAGGCAGAATTGCCATACATCCTCAGCTCGAAAAGGCCACGTACTTAGTGTGATGCAGGTGAGGAGCATTAGACTTTGATAGGGTGAATGGTGGGCTTGAAGTACTGTCCAACAATTATCAACGTGGGCGGCATTAATCCTGAGAAAGGAAGTGTCTCATTTGCTATTGTTTGTAACAAAATCTAAAAGTGTCTCGTCAAACACTCCAGCTAATCATACGATGTCTGATGTGCCAACATTAAGCTTTCTGATCATATGCTAGTGACTATGACAAGCATGCATTCACCTGGAAGATCTCATTTAAACCGTAGACGTGATAATTGAAGCGTGTAGTAACGCGACCGCATAATCCAGACGCTACTAAGTGGTCTTGCCTTCCGCGAATCATCCAAATCCGAATACGTTATCATCCAAAAAGACATTATTTAACCCTGACGCTTCATATCCAATTCGCTTAGAAATCACAAGCCCATACAAGCAAAGAGAAAGCTTAACGAACATGACACAAGTCATCATACTTCAGGTAGCGCATTGGTTGGTGGGAATTCTTCTCAAAAGCTTACTACAGGAGACTGAGTGTGAATTATATTCATTTAATCAGTTCAGATGTGTTCAAGTGAATTTTCCTCAGGTTTTATACTTTCCCTTTCATAAATACCCAAACGATTCAGAGAGGATTCTCAGTGAGCCTGGAATTAGGGTGGCATTTTAACCAACCAACCGCCCAACTCTCTCAGAGATAAACTTTGTAGGCTTCAGCACCCAATAGATCCAATCAAGAAAAACAATATAATTTACCAAATAACACCTAATGACTATGAGGTCAATTACACAGGTCAGAATAGTAGGTAAGAGTCAACTAGATTATTGAAACATAGAGATTTAGCTAGACCTAGAATAATTGAGCCTGCTAAGTTAAATAACCTGGAAAAAAGCTCAACCACTTCATTCACTTGCATGTAATCACAAAATAGGGTGGGTGGGACAGGGTGAGAGTATTAAAAAGTAATATATTTAGGTGGATTCCACACCACACGTGTGCAGTGGGAACTGCGCAAAGCCTGTACCGGAGATATGGTAAGTGGCAACAAACAACAGTGGGAAGTTGGAGAGACAGAAAGGAAGAAAATATGTAAGAGAAATTATGAAACCGTGTGACTAAATTGATGTGATTAAAAGTAATAAATTGTGCTAGGAATGTCATCCAGTTGTTAATCCTGCATCGCTGTGTGATATTTAAAATAAACTTATCTAATATGGATTATATTCAACCAAAGTGCCCAAATTCTATTCAGAGAGTAACATACAACCAGAGCATCATGATGAATTTGAATCAAAATAATGAGGATAATAATTTCTTAACGTCATATGCGAGTGTTAAGTAAAAGTATTCCGAAACAGGTTTGTCTGGGTGATACGACTCTTCATTTCTTACATTCCTACCAGAACATTGGACTCCAAGCATCAAGCTTTCAAATTTCAGCCACGTTATTATTGTTTCTTTTCACGGGACAGATTTTCAAGTCTCAAACCCAAACTTCCTCTCTCCTTCTGTGCTTACGTTCAGCCAGCAAACTATGTGAGGTTTAGAACTGCTTCACTTGGGAATGGTGCTCGGGCCCCAGGCGTGATTGAGAAGCATTCCACTATTGAATCATTGACGTAAAGTCGTTAGTTCATGACCTCATCCAAATAAACTCTGCCTAATCATAACAAAGTAGCCTAATGAATTGATAACAGTTTTGTTTATCTGATATCGAACGCAATACAGCTGTATCCAGACTATTCCTTCTATCAGAGTGATACCTATGGTTAGCGATTATATGACATCATTCTTTATGTGACCAGTTCGTTCAGAATTTGAAGTTGGAACATTCACATGAAAATAACATGCATGCCTTCTGGTAATTAGATTACCTTGTCTTGGATAGCAAACAATGAGTAATTTCACTGTAGATTTCATCAAGAAACAACACTGATCATAAACTCCTCGGAAACCATGGTGCACTTGTCAACTGATTAGTCCTAGTTTGGTAATCAGGAACAGTGAGTACCGACTGACCTACCATGGTTCGGACATTGGACCTTACGTGAACAAGCTAGCTGACTAATCAATCACTCGGGTTGGAATTCGATTAGGTGTAAATTCCATATTTGTCATTCCATGATGCAGTCTTGGGTGAGCATTGCTGAGCACTCCCAAACTAGGACGAAGCAGCTAGCCAATGCTCTCCCCCCCCCAGACAATAGTTTCTGACGGCTTTCTAACTAATATTCCTTGATTCATTGAAACGAATCAAAAATCCACACTCCAAATACTAATTAGTCACTTTCATTTCTTTCACATGAATGTTTATTCTGTTCCTGTGTGTACTCGTTATGATTCTTATGCACGAAAATATTTAAATCTTGATAAACAGTGTGTATAGCAGTTCATCGCTTTTGTATAGGTGACGTAATATATTATCCATGAGGTGCATTAAAGGAGTGTGTGTGTGTGTTGCGTTATTCTAACTACTTTTCGATATTTTCTCAACTTTGATCAACTAAAATACATCCATTTGTATCCGAATGAAAATTTCCTAATCTTTTTGTGCATATTCGACTATTCTATATTGCAGGTGACTTGGTCATTGGACCAATAGATTCTGATAGCTCGGATCTGAGAAGAATAAAAACATTCCCTGGAAGAGCGAAAGGGGTAAAAGTGGAAATAATTAATGACAGTAAGTTGTGCTGTTGCTTTTCAAAAGTTGTCTGGTAATCCAACGAAATTTGTATTTGACTAATATAAATGGATACTGTTCAGTGTTCATTGTATTTTGATAATTCATTTCTCGTGAATATTTCATCGTCAGACTTCATGAGGATGTCAGTAACAACTTCTGAAAACCCCCACGGTCATAATTATCCGTAAATGTGAAAAGTCTCAACAGTGCGTCAGTGGCACAGCGGTTAGGACGCTCACCGACCCGTGCACATGGTCTGGGGTCCGATCCCCTGCAGACGCACACCTGATATCAATGGTCGGCCTGCTAAATTTTGGCTACCGATATCACATGCTGAAAATTTCATGCTTGTACCAAAATACTGTGTGGAATCAAGCTATAATCAAAAGTTAAATTAAAAATTATAACATCAAATCAATTTCATAGATTTTATATACAAAAACTACATGATGTCGATTAATACTTTTCTAAGTAACTTTATTATGTGGTTGCATGATATTCATTTGATAGCTGACATTATTGAAATGCCGAATAATGTCAAAAATCACAAAGGCTGTCTTATCCTTAGTCAACTAATCCTTAGTACCGACAATCCCTAATTTCTGTTTGTTAGACTTTTTAAGAGCCAAAGGATATCCTGCATTTGGCTTTCTTCACAAACCGACTAGTGTAACACAGTACGATGAATTGTCAAAGATGGTAGATTTAAATAACTTTGAGAATCAGAAACCCCAGTTAGATAAAAAGCAACACATTGAGCGAAAGAATATATCCCTGATCAATTAGTTCCTCATCATCGGCTCTACACTCATATATAGTTGCTTTTTCTACATCAAAATTGTTTTCATCAATCAAGTGGTTATTTTAGTCAATCAGTTCTGAGTATAGACGGGGTGGTGAAATTAAGAGGCTAAAAGTTATCAAAACAATTAACTAATAGATGCTAGTAACAAGGTATCTAAGTTTTGAAGGAGGGGTGAACCTAATTATGGCATTCAATGTAAGTTAATTCTTAAGCGATAGCAACAAGCTATTACCTAATCAAGAAATCTGTGAAATAATGATGACTAAGAAGAATAGGATGACTCCGAAGAATCATGTAAAATACAAGCATGTCAACAGTATTAGCTAGAATTGTAAAAATAACAAAGTCAACAGATAGTTACGAGAGGAGGAGAGAAATCGTTTTTTAGAAAATTAACATATTATATATATAGTTGACCATGGAAAAGAAAGAAGCTGTACAAATTTCTTTGGAACACAACACAGATTTGGCTTGTTCATATGAATTCCGATTGTCTCTTCAATATGTAAAAGTCGTACTCGTAAACCATGCAAGAGGATGGGTGATTGATGATAAATAACTTGAAAAGCTCTGTTAGAGTTCACTCTAACTTTACAATTCTAGGTAATTCTATTAACTTGATGTATTTCACGTAATTCTTTAGAGTCATCCTATTCTTCTTAGTCATCATTATTTCACAGATTTCTTGATTAGGTAATAGCTTGTTGCTATCGCTTAAGAATTAACTTACATTGAATGCCATAATTAGGTTCACCCCTCCTTCAAAACTCAGATACCTTGTTACTAGCATCTATTAGTTAATTGTTTTGATAACTTTTAGCCTCTTAATTTCACCACCCCGTCTATACTCAGAACTGATTGACTAAAATAACCACTTGATTGATGAAAACAATTTTGATGTAGAAAAAGCAACTATATATGAGTGTAGAGCCGATGATGAGGAACTAATTGATAGGGAATATATTCCTTCGCTCAATGTGTTGCTTTATTCTAAACGCGTAAATGGGAATTTGGAAAACCCTTGGTGTTAACTAGGAGAGTCTTTTTTCGGTGAATTCATTTTCTTAGCTGTACAATCGCAAATATATCTGAGTTATTTTTTATGCATGTGTACATTAAGTTTGTCAAACAAAAATACCATTTAACAATCAAGTGGCCATATGTTTGTTAATAATAATTAGTCAGTGTCAGCATGTCAGTGGGGTGATAATTAACGAAGAAAATTAATACACACAATTAAAAAGTAGAAATGGTTGCAACACATGGATTGCGGAGTGCATAATTTTTGAAAATGAAGAGTAATTAAGGAATAAGCGGTTGAAAAGGTCGATCACGTAACAGATTACTAAAGAAAGTAAAACGATTTAGACAATTATAATTTGTAACTAAGGCTGAAGTGGTCATAAGAATAAAGTAATCTTACAAAGGTAACATGTAATTAAAGATGAAGTAGTCAAAAAATAATAAAATTATTTGGACAATCATAATTTTTATAATTTCTAAAGGTTTAGGGAGGAGGGGGCGAAGTAGTGCAGCTTATACATTCATGTAATGATGGCCAAGGTAAGCAAAGTGGCTGTACAAATTTCTTCTGAACACACAGGTTTGGCTTCTTCAGTTAGTTATGATTATTTTAACCAAACAGGTGAAAATTATAAGTTTTGGGTGTCAATAAAACTAGTGCAGTAACAAAGGTGATGAGTTGTCACAAATAGTTGTTAAAAAGAAGTTATGTAATAATATGTGTAGTCTGACGATTGAGTTTTACTCAGGATACACATAGGAACAAAGTAGAGGATACGAAATTACGTAAGAGTTCTAAATGAATACAAGAATTATAAATAATTAGAGAAACAGGCAAACAAATAAAATTAAGTCATCAAAAATTAACAAAGTTGTTACCATGATGATAGAAGTGGTTGAGTAATTCTGTTTTGTATGCACAGCTCCGGTTTTTCTATGTGAATGGCCAGAGCTTCAGCGATACAAAGAAGACGAAATTGTATTGCCTTTCGCAGGTTACTCTTGACTCTAATCTACTGCATTAAGAAACTAAGACAATCTGGAACCACCCAACCTCTACTTTCACAATTTGTCAACTCTTGCATCTTACCTATTCTACTTTACTACTCCTCGTTAGTGTTTCCTGGGCTACTGAAAAAGGACTATACCATCCTGAGAAGGATGTTGAAGGTAGTTAGTAGGACCAGTGGTGTAAAACTCGGTCAGCTCGTCACTACATTAGTTGAAAGGCATCTGAATACATGCGAAAAATGGTCTAAAACCATGCCCTCAGACCCCCAACACCCCCTCTACTCCCAACTCTTACCTTGTATCTCATCAAGTAGAACCAGAAATCAGTATAAAATAATCTATGCTCGTACAACCAAGTACAGGAACTCAACGATACCATACTTGGCCCGTGTTTTAAGCGACAGAGACAATGTTAAGAGTGAAACCTATGACTTGCTTTGTTGTTAATAACATAATTTTAGGCTCTTTTATTTCACTCTTATTTTGTATTCTATAGTGAACTCCTTCTTAAACATACTTAGCCACCTAAATTATTAACATTGGCTTCCTTTTTTGTACTTTACTATATTCCTTCTATTGTGTATCCACTGGTTTCGACTATATTAGCACTATGAGTACTACAAAATTGTCCTGTCATGAACCATCATGTAATTATTAGTTTTGTGGTTGTTTTTTCTTATTTTCTATACTTTTCGGCAATATTAAACTGACAATCACTGGTTGTGAACGCCATTATCACCACCTAAAATTTTGTATAATGCAGGATTACTCACACTACCACTACAAACACTGCATTAGACCTGACAATAAAAAACAAAACAACAACCCTGAAATGTTATTTTATGATTGTTTAGTGTTGTTTCAACCAAATTCACTGATCATGTTTGCGATAAACATTCTTTTATATCATTTCATAACTTCTTGTATGACTATAGCTTTACTGTCACCATGCATAATCATATCATAGCTTCCACTACCCAATACTGAGATATTATTATATGCTGTTTACTTTCCTTTCTACTTCTTGGTATTTTTTCGCATTTTTTAAAAATTATTTTGTGTTTTTTTGCTGTTGTTGTCTTTATATTTATTTATTTTCTTGAAAATACTCCTTTTCAACGGTGGATAAAATTAAATGCAAATATTGTAGATATGTGCTGAAAATTCCACACTGTACCACTAGTAGTGTTTATGAAATAAAGCAAATTATTATTATTATTACTTTGAAGGAGGTGTTTGTTGAGATGGAATAATCAGAATTAACCATATTCATATTATTACGTAACTCCATTTTAACAACTGTTTGTGACAACTCATCACCTTTTTTACTACACTAGTTTCATTAGCACCCAATTTTCATGATCGTTTTTGTATCACATAACTCCATTCATAACTTAGTAATTTCAACCTGTTTAGTTAAAATAACCATGACCAATTCTAATTTTGTTTGACAAACTTAATGTTCCCATGCATTCAAAATAACTCATATATATTTGCGATTGTACAGTTAAAAAAATGAATTCGCCGAAAAGAGACTCTTCGCTGAACTATGTGTTATGTTTTCACTAACTAGGAGACTTGAGGTTTCTCGTTTGATCCTTTGTGCAAATTTAGGTATAGACCATTGAGAGTTTCCATAACATAATAAGTCGACCATCCAGTAGTTTTCGAAAGTCACGCACTCGTGAGACGACAAACGAATGAGAATGTCAGTCCAGTGATATCTCTATGAAACTAAACTTTTATTTTTGTTAATTATTTGTGCTATAGGTACTTAGTCAGACATGCAGCTGTGGCAGCATCTCTGAATTCGATTCTGTTCGCTGTAGACATCTTAGCTAGATCCACGATTGTTGACAAACTTTCATTTCCTCCTTACACCACCTCCTCTTTATCATCATTGGACCAACGCCCGACTTGTCAAATTTTCCCTCTCGAGTTCTGCTATCTGGTGTATGGTGTCACTCAACTATCTCCTGAGATGCCCAATTTTTCTCCATTTCCTTCTACGTATCTGTAGGACAGCAGCTTCTTGGTTTGTCTGTTGGCAGAGTTCCTTGCTGTTCATTCTTTCCACTCACCTAACTAATCTTCACTATCAAGACAGCGAAGTCATCTCTTGGTGAAAGTGTGCGACAGGCTGTGTTAAACAGGTGATAAATTGAGTGTCTGAACAAATATAGCGGCATCTACTTGACATCGTAATTAAAATTCATATCTTGTTCCCAATGTTTAGTGCACTAGATCCACACACTGATTTTAGAGCAGTCAAAGCCTGTCTTGTTTTCCCCATCCAATCGTGACTTACTCCGACATCCTCGGATCTGTCACCTGTACTTGAATGGATTCTCCCAGGCGAGGTAACTGAAAGAGGTGACTTCCTATAGATTATGAAGTTAGATAAAAAGCATTAACTGCATAGCTGTTTTAATGGTGAATGCCATTATTATTATTAACATCATTTTCTCGTTTCTTTTCAGACAGTTTTTTAGCCATTAAATGGTTGGATTTAACAGTTATCAATAAATTTGGGGAAGAAACAGTGGAAAATGGTATGAGTAAACTGTTTCAGTATTTTATATATAATTTTTCCCTTCCTTGAGTGATCTATCTTCGCTGTGAGCAGGGCGAAATGGAGGTGTGCTGTTGAAGCAATATGTTCCACTTGGGAAGCAAGGGAATATTAATGGTATAAAATAGTATTAATAATAGCTTTGGATGCAACTCATGATTTAATCCTAATTGAAAATAGGTTGTTTGTCACAACCGAGTGGATTTATACAACTTGTATAGAAGACTGTGACTAAGATGTCATTGAAAGATTTACGTCTAAGAATATGTTCAACTCTTATAACTATAAATTCATAACTACTAATGTAAATATAATAATAATAATAATTGGTAGAAGTAGTCTTATATACCTAAATCAATATAATGTTATTATGTACTCAGACTAAACATATTCACTCTCAATCAGTCTTACAAAAAAACCTTAAATCATTTTCATCTATCCTTCTTCAGTCGAGGTTGTCTGTGTCATATACCCCAGTGGAAATATATTGATTTACTTCGAGAAGGTAAGTGAAATGAACATTGACAGATATTTGTAATTCCTGAGATGTTTCTCACACCTGAAGTGTTGAAATGTCAAAAGTGCAGTTTTCACTATTATTTGTGTATATGAAGATCCTCAAGCTATAACACCACCAGTACCACGTCCGAAGATAATTAGGAAATGGAATACAAGTGATGACTCGGTCATTATAGAAAACATAGCGTACTTCTCAGATATCTTTTCTCCCCTCAAAATCAATAACAATCTGGCTAGTATTAATTGTCATTCTTTGCATTGTTGTTGTGAGTGAGGTAATACTGTGTGTTCTGATTGACGACAAACTGACAGGAGTGTCCAGTGGTGTCTAGTAAGTCTTCTGTGAGAAAAGGTACCCGCCGATTATACCGACCGGTGGTGGCACCATGTATCACCAATTACGAGGAGTTAGAATTCATGGGCCATTGAATTTCGTCCCAATCGATCGATGGTGCACCGGCTCACTTCCCATCCTGGAAGTAAAAGGTTTGATGTCTTGTTAGGTGTCTGCTGTATCTTGCTAATGAGTCATCAGTTGTCTGTATAAGACAGCTATCCGATAGTCTCTCGCTTTCAGTGATTTTCTGACTGATATCAGTTTGTTATCTAACTTGAATTCCAATTCATCTGTCACACAGATTATGTCAAAGGTTAAGTAAATGTAAAATAAAGGAGTGTCTATTAGCTGTTTAAAGCAATTGTAAATAATATGGCTTCATTCTTACTGAATGCTGATAAAATTCGGAGAAAAATTTATACACTACACAACACGGATTATGCATGCAAACATTCATTCCACCAACTTGTATAAAACCTACTTCTAATGACCGTTTGTTTTCAGGACTTAATATTCTGATTTCAGTCTAACTGACAAATTCACACCTCACAATGTTGGCCTGTACACGCAGGCAGCAACTGCTAATCAAACCATAAGATGCTTCATATAAATTTCTCACATTTTTACTGCGGGATTAGTTAACTCATCTAGAAAAGTCTGACTTGTTTTCACGGCGAAAGGTTCAACAATATGTCCTCATCTTTGCAGAGTTTGATTATTTTAACCATAATTGTATTCTTGTTTCTCTGACAAACTATAGTCAGTTCCAGCTTACATATCAAAAGTCTTACTATTTAAAACGCATAACGTGACAGTAGAGTGAGGGCGGTGGTATCTAGCAGACTGATAAGGGAATAATGTATAATCTCTTATTCATTTTCCGTTGTATGTAGTCGGAAAATCTAGCAATAAACTGAATTGACTAAGCCTCCAAAAGTGTATCAACGTCTAGTGTTATCTCTATCGCTTTGACACAACTTTAATCCATATCACCTCCTCGAATGCTTTGTTGACTCAAACTATAAGGCTTAAGGCAAGCTTTAAAATGTTTGTTCTAAGCATGGAGTTCTCTTGTAGGTGTGACTGTTACAACTGAATGAGAAACTGACACGATTACTCATTTCCATCCAACTTGGCATCACCCAATGAATCTGTAGCTTGACAAAGAACGAACAGTCTCTCAAGCATTTCCATTACAAAATATGCACTTCCTACACCTTTCGTCTAACTAATTACGTGTCGATTTGACCACTTGTTCATTCACCTTTTAACCATGTTGAGATTTTAAAAATGGAAATAAGTAGGTGAAAATGATGAGAGACAAAACTTGATTATTTTTCCATTACCATTCTTTCTCTTTAGATACCAGAAGAAGGTGAAAGCGCAGATGTCAGAGTGATTGTTGAAGATGGCTTAGATTTAGTGGCAGGTAATCATCAGATAATATTATTATTATTATTGTATCCTTTAATTCCTACAGGAACATAGGGCTTCAGCCGTGCGTCTCCATTGCGTTCTGTTCTCTGCTAGAGTCTTCACCTGGCTCCAAGTCTGCCCACACTTTTTCATCTCCTCTTCACATGACCTCCTCCAAGTCACCCTTGCACTGACGACCAACTCGCCACTTCCCTTTCGGGTTCCACTCAAGGGCTTGTCTAGTGATGTCACTTGATGGTTTCCTCAGAGTATGGCCAATCAATCCATCTCCATTTCTTCCTGCCTATTTGTTTCACAATCGGTTCCTGCTTTGTTGGTTCGCTCCCAGAGATCTCTGTCGCTGATCTTTTCTGACCGGCCATCTGATCTTGATTATTGAGCGAAGACAACTGTTAATGAAGGTCTGTAGTTTGTTGGAAATGCTCTTTATGATGCGCCAAGTCTCTGATCCGTATAGTAGCACTGACTGACTTCACATTGGAGTTGAAAATCCGGATCTTATTCTGATTTTGATGCTGAGTGTTGTTGACCTCCACACAGACTTGAGAGTAGTGAAAGCTTGTCTTTCTTTTCCGATTCTTGCTTTGATATCCTCGTCAGTTCCGCCTGTAGTTGAAACGATGCTTCCCAGGTAGGTAAAGGAGGTTGTTTCTTTCAGGTTCCTCCCATTTATGCTGATTGTTGTCAGTTGTTGTTGTTGCTGTTGGTGGTGTTGCCCAGGAATTTTCATCACCTCTGTTTTATCTATGTTCACCTGAAGTCCTATCTTTGATGCTTCTTCTGCTAACTTGTTGCTTTTCGCTTGCATATCTTCCAGTTTGTGGGAAATGAGACATATATCATCGGCGAAGTTCAGATCCTCCAAGTTTTTTGTGTGTCCATTTTATGCCTGTTTCTTCATTGCCCACTGTTTGTCGCATTATCCAGTCTACTGCAATCAAGAAAATCATTGGCGATAGTAGGCAGCCTTGTCTTACTCCTGTCCTCACTTCGAAGGGTTCTGTAAGTTTCCCATTGTGGATTAATTGGCATGCACAATCATCAGATAATAAGAGATTATTATTACATTCTTGCTAATGTAATGTTAAAATGAAATCGCTGTGTTGTTTGATGATATGTGTTTAGCATCAGTGTGGACTTTGACATGAACTGATATCAGTTAGAGAACCGTCAACAATCATGGACCATTCTGATAGTATACAACAGCTTGAACATTTGATTTCATTAGATTATGCGTGAATGCAAGCTCTCCTCATCTAGACCTTGAGGTGGAGTCATTCAAATTCACTGGTGTTATTCCGAAACTCATTTGAGAAAGGCCTGCAACAAACTTGCACATACTGATATATCCATCAAAACATAAATCCGTAACAGTTGGTGAATTAGGCTGTGCTCTTAATACGAAGCTATTCAGGTCATTACTTATGCACTATTTGTCGCATATCAAGCAGTGGAGTTGTGTAATCTGAAAGGTTACTGTGCAGGGCATTATTCTGTGAGTGAACATAATATTTAACTGCAAAATAAAACTCACCTTGTATTTCTATGACCACCATAAGTACATAATATGAAAGATTTACTATTACAGTCTAAAGGGGCAAAGTAAAAGCCAAATTTCCAGAGAGATGATAAATACTACTGCTTGATATAATGAGAAGGTGGGGCATGATTGCCTGACAGCCTGATTGAAGGGATTTAAACACTGAACAGGCTTATCAGAGAAGTGCACCAGTTTACAGTCAACTCACAGAGACGAAATGTTGTAGGCTACTGGAATTCAGTCTGCCTGGCAATAAAATATGGTAACATATGGAATGGAATTTGTCATTTGTGAATTACTCAATTCGAAGTGGAAACCCACCACAATGTCCTTCGGATACCCAAAATTTACAGAGCACAATATAATATGACCTGCGTCATCCCAATATGAATCCTTAACATTAAAATAAGCAATATAGCAGTATGGTTGGATACCAGCGGTAAAGTCACTGCAATCTCACTATGAAGTGCTACTGCTTAACGTGAGGTCTCCCGCTACGCGTGTGTATCACTAATGTATGCTTCATCTAAATACTTTAGGTCTTCAAAGCTGAAATTTAGTCTACATTTATCTCATATCTTAAATAACGAATTAATACTTCATCTCAATCATAGGGTATCAGATTATCAGTTGACTACAATCCGGAGCGAAAGATAGGCTTTCTAGATTCTCATAACACTTTTAGCACGTATCGATCAAATATGTTTGTCGTCCAAGTTTTTTAGCTCGTTGAACAATTCATACCGAAATAGAACAGCTTTAATAAATACTTGAAGCTATTAGATCGATTATGTCAGTGTCATTGTAAATGTTATTGTCAAATATCGTATTATTTGAAGTAAATTTATCTTATACCTTCTGTTGATTGATTATACTGAACTGAGGTACTCGGTCTCTATTAACATGTCGGCTATTGGTACGAACGCTTCAATGATTTCTAAATGTAGTTTATCATGATTTCAATTGTCCGTTGGTGGTGATCAGTGGGATGGAGGATGCGGACATTACTTCCTGCTTAGAACTCTTCAAATCAATGTACGTGTACTTCCAGTAACGGATACCGTTCCCGTTGAGAGTCGACTTCAACAGCTATCTTTTTAAACACCGAAGAGCCTGAATACCAGTCTAATTGTCACAACTTTAATGTCATTATTTTAAAGTGATTCTGAATCATCTATCTCTCCTTTCTATTACATTTTAGGGAGTGGTAAAAGGCTTATGATGTCATATGGCACAGATAAATCACCTTGGTTTGCGTTGAAAACGCGCATGCTGATGGAATTCACTCCAAATCCAAGTATGCAAATCAAATTAAAATTTGTTCTACTGTGTTTTAATTTATTAATATTACTGACTAGAGATTTTGTAAAAGGCTTTCTCATCAAAGGTTAGTCATATGATGAGAACAGAAGACAAGTATACGATGAAAATACTATCTGATCGGTTCTCTATAAAGGCTGAATATTTTCTGTTTCCACAGACATTCAGTTAATGCATATATATCGACCATTCAGAGTTCAGTAATTAGAATTCATTGGATTCATTTTAGCCACACATCTGCTAATCATTCCTTTATATGTTTGTAGTGGTTATTTTTATAGTTGCAATCTTGAGTGATTTTATTCAAACAATTAATATGGTGACATACAGACTGAATGATCCTGGGTGTGGGTTCTTATCTCAGCTGAGTGCTTCAATCGAAAATGTTCGTTGTCTTTCTGATTCCGTATTAATTTGTTTATTAGATATATCAAACAGTGAAACAGTATTATTTACTAGAGAACGAGATTTCGAATAAAATTTATTGTTCATAATCACATCATCAACTGTAACCACACAACTTCGAAACTTTCGTTTTGTAGTTTTCATCATTCTTCCCTATTTGTCGTAGGGGTAGTAGAATTTTCCGGATGTCTGGGTGGACAGGTGTTGAATCATTCCTATTACATGTATTTGCAGTTGATTTGATAAACAAAGCTTCTGTTATCAATCTCTCCCTCCACCCAGTTACATTAGATTTTAACACCCTCATCTTATCTCATCCATTCTGTTGTATGATTGTGTGTCATTGCATGTAGTGGGTGGTATAGCTGAACTAACTGTTCTCCAGATTTCTTATCTTATTTGGGTCAACTAATTTTGATTATGCTCGTGTGATTACAATTGATATGAAGGAACCTCAGAAACCAAAAGTGGAATTCTTAACAAAGCAGGAATAAAAGTGGCTGGCATTCAAACCACCCAAAAACTCAATTAGAAACAAGCTTTATCAGTTTGAGGATCCTGTGGAGCCAATAAAACAAAACAATTTAGTTTATCTAATACCCTGCCTGCAATGATTGTCACGTCAAATACAAAGGTCAAAGTAGTAGAACGGGGTCATTCAGACCAGTGGAGCACCAGAACCTAGCAAAATCTAGATTAGTTGACCCTAATAAGATAAGAAATCTGGAGAATGGTTCAGCTATACCACTCACTACATGCAATTACACACAACCATATAATAGGATGGATGGGATAAGATGACAGTTTTAAAATCTAATGTAACTGGGTGGTGAAGGGACAGATTGATAATGGAAGTTTTGTTTATCGAATCAACTGCAAAAACATGTAATAGGAATGATTCAACACCTGTCCACCCAGACAGGCGCCCAAGTTCTACACATATATTTATACCATATTATCATGTGGGCATTCTAGCTTTCTATGTGAGTAGTGTGACTCTCCCTCTTCCAGCGAATTTCTCTGTAACTACTGATCTCTACAATGATAATAAATCTTCTGAAGGCACTCAATTACAATAAATTTCATTGAGAGAGACACGTTCGTCATATATGCAATATTTCGAAATTCCTATTTCCCACTGAAGTAAACAGTCAGTAATATTGTTGAAGAAGACAAGGAATTTTTCGAAATGTTATCAGTCAGGTCACAGAGAGAACAACAACACCAAGAACATGCATGCGTCCGTGTCACACATCTTCTTCATTGCTTCAAAACACTCAACTGCTTGAGCATATCTCACAGATGTAAATTCAGCGGACATATAATGCTAGCGTTCAGGTAGTATTATCTAAATCTTTCAGCAAATTGTGTGGTATCTATCAACAAAATCAATCGTCAGATGATTTCAGATATTCACCATTATTATTATTGTTATTATTATTATTATTAAAACAGACTATGCCAATAAGTATAATGAGAGTAAATAGTTTCACTGACCTCACCCACAAACAGCCATACTGATTTACTTTTCTCTTATGCAAAAAATTCTATGTGAATTAAAAAAAAAAACATTGTTTTCTGGAATGTAACTCATGACAACAGGACAAGAAAAGAAGAATAGAAACAGAAATACTCTTCTAAAAGTGAATGGTTATCACTGATTGAGCATATATTTTGTTTTCACTTGGAATAATGTGTAGCGTTTCGCAAAATAACAGACAATTTTAGGACGTCCAGTTTTTATATGCTTATCGGAAGAGTGAGTGGATAAGTGGTGACATGGTTGACCTATTTCCATTGAAAACAAATTGGATTCTGTCTTTATCTTCTGAGTAAATATTTGTTAATGTTATTGTCAGTGTAGTTTAAAATGCTTTTTCAACTGAAGTTACCACGTTAGGATTTTCGCTTATTGATCTAGGTATCATTATTAAATATTATTATCTTCACGTTAACTATATTATCCTCCAACATTTTTGGAAGTTAAATGTTTAGACAGGGCTTTCATTGTTAAGAGCAGGATATTGGAGACAATCATTAGGAAGTCGTGCATCTAATTTTTATACTTACTGCCATCTGTCAACAAGATGTAGGCACATCCTTGAAAAAACAAACATCCTGTCCGAGATTTGAACCCAAATTACCTAATCCCTCGGTTATACGTGATAACGTTGGGTGACGTAGCTTCAAATCTCAGCTAGGACATATACTGTCAAGGTTTGAGATACATCTAGCTGACGAGTTTCAATAAAAATAAAACCTAAGTCCACGTCTTCTTCATGCTCAACTATCTGACATCACTTTAAAATGCACGTCACCATAGTGAGATTCACAGTTTTGTGACGAAAATTGAAATCTGACTTGGAGAATTTAATCGGCGTATCACAAACTTTGTGATGAATCACTTCAGAAAGAAAATGACATAATGTAGTCAGACTACATGCGTGATTCGGGTCATTCTCCAGTGACTAATCAACACAGCTTTTAATGTGACGAAAAAAGTATCAGAATTTAAGTCTTGTTAAAAGTATAGGGTGTAGAGCTGCTTTTTCAGAGATATGGTGGACTATGAGTGGTGGATTTGAAGGCTTACAGAAAAGGTTGAATTTCTATCAGATTAGCCGATGACAAACTGTAGATTGGTGTACTTTGCAAATTCCAACATCAATATCAAGTTTATGACTTTCTCAATATCCATTGTATTTTGTTCCAATAACGAGGACAAATACTTGCCGAAGACATAGTCTAGGGGTCACGCTATGTCGTGAATTGGCAGAAGTTAGAATTCATGGGCCATTGGATCGGGTCCCAGTGGCTTAATGGTATACGAGCTCGCCTTGTAACCAGAAGGTCCTGGGTTTGAACCCCGGTGGGTGCGTACCGATAAAGAGTCCCAAACTAGGACGAAACAGCTGTCCAGTACTCCCAGCTGGTTTTCAATGGTTCTCTAACTGATATCAGCTCATGATGAAATCCTGTAACCAATCAAATCCCTCCAAACCAACACTTGAAACGATGAAATAAATCTGCCCTCATTAGTCCTATTCTAGTCAGTACAAATTTTCTCTAAAGACCTTTGTTTACTTGGGATGCTATGTAACGAGGAGTATTTTCTGTTCCTGTCTTTTTCTTTGCATAGACATTTGCTCTGTACAACGATCGTCTCAACAGTGCAGCAATGCATCAACAGAAGATGTCACCTGTTATTGGTGTGCTATGGGTGGATATTGTAGCAATGGTTGTGATTCTAAATTTATGTTTTGGCAAAATCCATATTGTCATCTAAATGTAAGTAGTACCTATCTGAATTATAATCGTATTAATAAAATTAATGCTGATAATGACAGTTTAAGTAATAAAAATAATAATAATAATAGTACTAATGAGACCGAGATTGTCGTTTGAGTGAGGAAGGAAATAAGAGACAATTCAGGGAAGAAAGCTTTCTCTATCAACGAATTCATCATCAGAGGCTGTGATATCGTATTCTATTTAGTGAACTCCTACAGGAGTCTGTTTTTGAGTAATAGGGAAGGGGTGTGAGGTAAGGTACACGATTACTGAAAATTGGCTTTTGAAGATGTAAGGATGCGTAGGAGACAATGACAACTGAATGAAAGCAAAGCTTTCAAAGGTTTCATATGCATTGAACATACATGCATGATTATTTCGTCATCTGCGACAAAGATGCTCACATTGAACTTATACTGAAGGAGTTCATCCATTGCCACAATTCCATTACTTTCATGAGAAAAACTGAGATCTACTGTGATTTTCATTTCCTTTTGGATGTTCTGTTGGAAAGCAGATCTTACAGTTGAATTCAGAGACCGTTCTACAGGAATTCAACATCTAGTGATCAGTATACTAGTTTTATTGTTGGACCAGTTTAGGTAGAATAAGGAGGATATGCACCTGTAATACACTCAGATAAGTTTTGATTCAAAATGGATAGCCCACATGTTTTATTGACAAAAACATGGGAGTGAAGTAGAGGCAAGGAAGAGTAGAAACAGTGAGGTAGAAATCGCTGTTTATGAATGTTGAATTGAAACGGTGCTGTCCACCTAAGATTTTGATGAATTATCTACCCACTAATCAATTTCTACAGTCAGTGAAATAGTCAATGTATGTATGTAGGACAAAGTGCCACTTTCGGACACTTCAGTGTGTGTTTATTAATTCACTTGCTCCTGTAGAATTGGCTTGTGATATTGACCGAATGAACCGCACACTTCCAGAACGAATCTGTGAACATTATCTTTAGTGGTTATCGACAGGACAATGCAAGAAAATTACCAGCTCAATTCTCCAATACCAGGTAAATTCAGACCACCGGAATCATCTTTTAACATAATCTACATGGTGGGGCCGAATGACAGAAGAGGAATTATGTCAAAACACTCGCGTATGGCAGAGGCACTAACGATTCGGCAGTGTAACTCTGAAAGCTGTGTGTAGAATTGGTTTATTCAGGCTTCTTATTCTACTATTAACTTAGACTCTTCTCTACTTGTCTGCCTCTACTTTGAGTAATTAATTCACTATTATTACTCTAACATATCCCTTTTATTGATTTTGTTAGTTGTTATTCCCTCTCACCATTTTCTCACTTGTCAAGTGAATACTAAACCACACAGCTTCTCATCTAATGACAATTCCCATTTGACCGAATTTCAAAACCATATTTCCATAGTGTCAGTAATTATTGAAAAATATCTATTTATCTTCAAAAACCATATCTGAGTAATTGTATCAGTTATGGCACACATCTTTCCTATCGCTCAATAACAGACTATTGTATGATTTTACGGCCTTTGAAGACGACTTCGTTGATGAGGAACTTTTTCTTCTCTGAATCATATTCTATTTTCCTTATTATGGAAATAATCGTGTCAGCAACAACTTCACTCGGAAAATAAGAACAGAACTTGTGCACTGTGGTAGAGTATAATTCCATTATGGGTAAAATTTATTTTGATAAAGTCTCATAGTACTACACAGTAATATTTACTGATGAAGTTTCGAGCACAAATGATTGCTCATAATCATATCAAGGTGAGACTTTATCAAAATAAATTTTACCCATCAAAGGAATTCACTCGGAGAAGCATTTTCCTCCAGGCTACATGCCTCCCAGTAACTAATACCTCAGAACATTTTTGCGTAGAATATAGTTTTCATAAATGAAAATATTAGTGAGATTAACTAGTAAGGATGTGCAGATTATGCATATGGCCGTAAGAGGCATAAAGAGAATCGTCTGCTTCCCACTATATAACTGATTAACCAGTTTCACTACTGTACTTCTGCCTCTACATAAAATGAGACCTTCATAGGGTTCATTTGAGTTCCACAGATTATATTGTATTACTGAACGGCATGTATGTTTCGCATCAGTCTGTATAGCCCAGTGATATTATACCCCGCGCCACTCCTCAAATAGCACTTGAGTGGGTAGTGACGGGTCGAGTGTCTGAGAGTAACATAAAGAAAATCAAATGAAGATGAAGCTAAAGCTGGTTGACATCTATAGAGCCAGTTGAAAGTGATAGCACAGAGCAGAATGTAGTGAGAAGATGTCTCTGAAGTCCCAGATTTCACACAAGACACCAGGTATATATGATTTGCATGATGAAGCAGTAAACGAATCTGAGAATTGAGTCTCTCCTGGATCGTTATAAAATTATGCGAAGTATATGAACATTTCTGAGATTATCTTGAATAGACTGTTGTAATTATAAATCTATTTTTCTTTACTTTATTTCAGATGACATCACCTTGTTTACTTGCATTTGAGAATGAATCACACTTCATACAGCATCAAACTCCACCTTTTATTAAAAAAGATTTGATTGAACTGAGTGATGTCAAATCATTTTATACAACTTACACAATTTCAGATTTTAGAACTACCAACCCTCGTTTATTTTTATTTATTCTAATACCAACTGCACTAATAGTCATTATTGTGACAATCTCGTGTGGTTTATGGCTATTGGTGGGAAGAAGAAAGTCGACGGTGAGTTATCCTATCCAACTAATTGAATAATAACAAATGCATTCATGCTGCTCACGTTTCATTTCTTGCCATGAGACTCGTAGCCGAAACCCATAGAATTGTTAGGATACAAATCTACTTTTTATTCCTTACGTCCCGAGTATGAACACATACGTCTTCAAGCTTTGTAGTTATAGTAGACGTTATGTTGTTTCTACGGAGTATAGTTGCTAGCCCCGCTAACAATCGAAGTCACAAGCGCTTAAAGAATAACCAGATCAAGTACGTTCACATGCAGGTTTAGTGTTCCATGGAATGCAAAATAAAAGATTTGAGACTTATCCCTTGGAATGCTTGAACACTGTACATATACAACAATCACTAACTAATCAATAACAAGTTTCTTTGTCAATTTCACACACAGAAATGATGGAGAAGATTTGTAGCTCGGATGAATGACATCGGTGTGATTGTGTTTTCTCACCTGAATGGTAAAATTTACACGTTTTCATTGACCTTCTAGATAACACAAAGGTCGGTACCGACTTCAATGTTGTCTAGAAAGACAGTGATGCTTGACAGTTTAACCACCCAACTTCAGAGGAAACAACTACACCAATAACTTTTCACATGTCATTATTTTACCTCACATAAAAATAGGGACTTTGTACGTGTGCAAGCATGTATCACCACCCGCCTACTCACTCACTCACTTACTCACTCAGTTGTACATAGATTTCCTTTCTGACTTAAATAAATAAATTGATAGATCCACTTTCAGACTGTCTATTTTCTTCAAAATACCTTCATCATATTGGTTGTATTGGTCGAATCATGGCAATTATTTATACAAAATACAGTGAATTACTCACTACTTTTATAAATCTCTACACTGGCCGTATGAGTCGACCTGGAATTCGCCTATTTGTAGAATCGAAAATTCTTATTGGTTAAAATGCTTACAATAGAAATGACTGACAAAGTTAATATAAGGAAGGCGTTGTGATACATAAGAAAAGCATAAATATATGTCCGTCAACTACTCCATAAATTTCGGTTTAATTTTTCTGAATCATCTCCATTTCATTGAGCTAAACATATATTTGTGTAATAATCTAACACAGCTGCAAAAATATTTACTTATCTTTCTCTGGAAAAGCAGATTTTTCATTACTTCAGTGTCAGTCTGTGTATGTAGTTCAGAGGTGGAATACTCATTAACCACCCATGTGGTTCAGGTGTGAATTCCGCAGTCATTAACCTCACTTAGACGGGATGTGACGGTGTGAGTGAGAATAGCGACCTGAACACTATTGCTACTAGAACTTCTAAGGTCAAGCTGTAAGCCTTATGTTCCACGTGGAATGCAAATACATAAAATGATCCTTGTAAATATCGATAATAAAAACTGGCAACAATTCACCTTGTGTTTAGTATTAACTTAATCGCAATTCACTAGTTTTCCTATTTAATAATAATTAGTCCATTATCTAAATTTGGATAGTGTTATTAGAAGAAGAAGAAGATTACACTGAACTCCTTTATGTCACTCTGTACATTTTAATTGGCCTTTATTTTTTCATATAAATTAACTTGACAAGTAATTATGCGCGATCAGATTGTTCGAAATGTATTGCTCAAATACACATCACATTTTCCCTGTAATCTAAGTTTTACTATTCATAAAAGTAATTCATGAGAACTTGTTTTGATTGTTATTCATCAGATCTTGACATGGGTTCTTGACTTCTTGTTTTTAAGCAAAACTTTTCATCGGATATCATTTTGTTAACCAACTATTATAACGTCATATGTTACAACCTTAAGTTGAAAGAAAAATACACTGGTACACCACACTGCATGTTACACTAACAAATGTTTTTATAAACTCAAATGCATTTTGAAATTTAACCATTCTGTTACATGAAACTGCAGTTTCACTCGCTTTATCAATTCCCACGTGATGTCGTTCATTTCATGTGATTATTGAATAGTTATCTATTATTACTTTGTGTTCTTTGGGTTCCTAGAGGAATATACAGCTTCAGCTGCTCATCCCCAATGTATTTTGCTCTTTTCGACCATTTTCAGAATAGTCCACGACTATCAACACACTGACATTTCCTCCACCTCCCCTGCCCCATATGACATTCAGCATGTCAATCGGGGGCACATGACAAACTCGTAAGCTGCTATTCTGATTCTATTTGAAGTCTTTGCACAGCGTTTTTTATTTGTTAGGCAGTACATTTTCAGCTGTTCCCTGTTGCTTATGCGTCCTCGTCAGCCATCTGACCTTCAGTATACAGCCATCGAAGTTAGCCGCTGGAAACGCTTATGGTTGTGTCTCCAAACCATAGGGAAGAAGTGAATGAACGCCTGTCTCACTTCCCCAATCCAAGTTGACTTTGACATCTTCGGCATCCGTTTCATCTGTATTTGAAACGATACTGACCAAATACTGTCTAACCACATTTAAATGATCTATTTATTCATGTTTATGATTCCCCTTTGCTTTATCTAACAAAATTCTGGTTTATGGGCTTGTCAGAGAGATTCCTTAATATTACCATGACTAATAATTCCGAATTGCTTGTTTGGTAGTGGGTGTGTGGATGGCCCAGTGGATAATACCTTGAAGTTTGAAGAGACTGGTTCCTAGTTCAAGTGGAAACACCCTGACAATGGGAAGCATGTACACTCAGCTAAGGAGTCTCAATTAGAATAAAATGCCTGTCCTGGATTCTACTGCTAGCTACCATCAAACAAAACAAATTCTTACATTTCAATAACGCTTAAACTCACAAACTTTTCGAAAATAGCTTTACGCCTCCAGTGATCACTATTCACTTTCTTATCATTAGTCTACTGAGACTTCTTGCTTCATTGATGGTAGATAGTCAAAGGAAAGGAGTAATAAATAAGTCAGAATGCTAAATAAAACTTCATGATGAATAGTTTTATCCTTTTCGAACAGATATGGAGTGATATGTGTGTGTAATTGTAAAGAGTTCCAAACTATGAGGAAACGGGTGTCTACTTCTCCCTCTATCAAACTCGAAACCAACCCATCTAACCCTTACAAAATGAAAATGAAAAAGACTTTAATGTGATAAGTGTACTCTAAGAAATACACATTTTGCAAAAACAGAAACTGAAGAGAGATGCTGAGAATAACTCTCAAGATTGAACATTTTCGATGACTAAATAGCATAAGAATGTCTTTTGTACCATCTGATATATATATATATATATACTTCAGACAATTTGATCAATGAAATTAAACAGTGAGTTTGATGGACTTATATGTAAAGAATGCGTGACACATTACCTGAATGAAGAATGATTCATGACTTAACGGTGAACTGACCTGCTGTCCCATCTACCATGTAATTACTTATTTCTCTGATGACTATTAGTGGAATCCAGAATGTGGATTTCATCGTATTTGTGACATCATATTTGTTATATGAATTCACCTGCATTCCGTTGTGAACGATGTGAACACATTATTCGTCTTCTATGCATGATTTCATATTATTACCATTTAATACTTGTGAATTCTGATCGATATATATATATATATATCTTAAGCAACTCGTTTAATGTCAATTGACTATTTGAACTTCTTCGGCCAATGTTTTTATGTTGTCTTAATTATTTAACTTCCACTTACTCGTCGGAAAATCAAATGTGAACTATGAATACTAACCACACAAACATAGTATTATTATTCCCTTACGTTTTGAATGGTACATAGGGCTTCAACAACACATCTCCACTTTTTTCTATCTTCTGCTATCCTCTTCATCTGAGTCCACGATTGACCAAACTCTCTCATCTCTTCTTCACACGATCTCCTCCATATCAGCATTGCACTGACCACCCATTGAGATTCCACTCGAGTGATGGCCTGCAGTGCGCGCAATGTCATTCAACTATCTCCTCAATGTATGTCCCACCCATCTACATTTTCTCTTACATATTTGTTGAACTATCGGCTCTTGGTTGGTTTGTTCCCACAATTTCTTGTTACTTATTCTTTCTGACCATTTGATCTTGAGTATGAAGCGAATGCAGCTGTTGACAAAAGTCTGCAACCTGTTGAAAATGCTTCTCGTGACACGCTGGCCGAGTTTCTAATCCGATAAGAAGGACAGACTTGACATTTGTTTTGAAAATCCGAGTCTTGTTGTTTATGCTGGCTGAGAGCAGTACAGAAGATTTCCAAAGTGGTCTTAGGTTGATGAAGGTGTATCTTGCCTTTCCAATTCTGACTAACCTTGATATATTCATTTGTTCTGGCTGCCTGTAGTTGAAATGATGCTTCCCAGATAAGTGAAGGAGGTAACCCCTGTTAAATCTCTCCCGTTGATGGTGATTTGTACTGGTTGTTGTTGTTGCTGTTGGTTGGTTATCTTCATCACCTCCGTCTTCTCTTGGAATCCCGTCTTCGCTGCCTGTCAGCCTCCTCTGCCAGTTTGTCGGTTTTCGCCTGTAAGTCTTCGAGTTTATGCGACATTAGACGTTTATCATCTGCGAAATCCAGATCTTCAAGAGTTTTCTTATCGGTGGTCCAGCCAATTACTGACTACTCGCTCCCAACAGACTGACGCATAATGCAGTCCACCACAATTAAGAATATCATCGGTGATAATAGGCAACCAGCTTGTCTTACTACTGTATTCACTTCAACAGAAGGCCTCGCTGAGTTTTCCGTTGCTGATTACCTGACACGTGGCATTGACATATAGCTGTTGAATGATATTGATAAAGACTTGGGCACTTTGCGATGTAGTGTTGAAGTAGTTTCCAAATTACTCCTCGATCTACGCTGCCTGTCGAAGGCTTTTTGAAGTCGATGAAGGTGAGATAGTGAGGTTTGACTGCCATTCTATTATTTGTTCTGCGATGACGATGCGTAGAGTTGCAATCTGATCAACACACAATTTGCATTTCATGTATCCAGCTTGTTCTGGTCGATGAGGAGGAAGTCTGTATCTAGTGCATCCTTTATTCTCTACAGGATGATGCGACTTAGTATTATACTTGGCGTGGACAGGAGCATTATTCCACCCCAGTTCTTGCACAGGCCTAAGTCACCCTTCTTTGGCAGTTTGACGAGGCAGCCCTTTCCCCACTCAGTAGGCCACTTTCCTTCTTTCCATACGTTTGCAGTAATAGAGTGAGAACATCTTCCGTAATCTCTGTGGTCGTCTTCAGTGATTCGGGAGGAATACCTTCCGGTCCTGCTGCCTTCCTAACAGGACTTCAGTAGCTTGAAGATTGATGTCCAATGGCGTGCTGTTGGTGAGGGTGATATTTCTGGGTTAGTTGCCGGTGGTGGTCGATTCAAGAGTCTGTTAAAGTGATCAGCCCATTGCTTGATTTGTTTCTCCTCCTTGGTGATCAGGTTCCCTCGAGCATCTTTTATTTGTTTCATCATCTGGCTTGGTCTCTTTCCACATAGAGATCTAGTTATTTGATGTAATGTCTTGAGATCTCTTTTGCATGCGGCTTGTTCTGCTTCAGTTGCCAATGTGTCGTAGAATTCTTTTTTTTCTTTCCTAGCACTCTTCTTTACTGCTTTATGCATTGCAGCTTATATTGAACTCAGCTCCTCCTTCTACTGTGCATCTTTGTATTGGGCCATCTTCCCTTTCACCATCCTCCTCTCCTCTCCTCGATTAGCTTCCACGTATCCATTGGCAGCCATTCCTCGTCTTTTATCTTCCTTCTTCCTGGAACATTTGTACACGTTTCCACAAATATCGCTTTCAGAGAGTTAGTTCCAATGTTCTTCCATGCAGGTTTCCTCACTGATGCCACGTAGTGTGTCCGACTTTGCTCTGATATCTGTAGCGAAGGCATCCTTTTTAGTTTTGTCCTTCAGTTTCTGCATGTTGAACTTGAATTGTGGTCTGTCTCCATTTGTTTTGAGGGATTTCAGCTTCACCTTGAAGGTTCCTTGAACTAGATGATGGTCTGAGCCAACATCTGCTCCCCTTCTCGACTTTGTGCCCAGCAGACCGGCTGCGTCTCCACTTCCTTGAGCAGCATTGGGATGAAATCTATCTCGTTCGTGGTGTATCCAAAAGGCGAAATCCATGTTGCTTTGTGTATATCCTTGTGGTTGTACACGCTCCCTCCGATCTCCAAATCGTTAAAAGAGTAGAAGTCTGCGACAATTCTCCGTTCTCATTAATTTTGCCAGGCGAGAGCCTCTCGACTTATGATGAGTTCTCTTCCCCTACTATGTGCTCCCAATTCAGCTGGCCTTCATATCGCCCATAAGGATTTTGATGTCACCCTTCGGGATGTTGTTGATTACTGTTCATAATTGTTTGTAAAAATCCTCCTTCTTTTCTTCGTCCGCGTTGTTTGTAGGTGTGTAGCACTGGATAATTGCAACCTTCCTTCCACTGGAGTTGAATCTTGTTGACATGATCCTGGATGAAATTGGTTCCCACTACATTAGGGCTTTTGCTGCCACTGGTGAAATCATGATAGTCACTGCCTCATTGTGTTCGTGGTTGTCGTCTTGGTGGCCAGAATAGATTATTGACTCTCAAGTTGACAATTTGGATAATCCACATCCATTTCATGTGCCCTCGCAGATTCCCAGCACTTCCATACCATATCCTCTCATTTCTTTGGCTACCTGGACAGCCTCCCAGTCGCGTACATTGTGCTCACATTCCCCATAACCACTCTCATTCTTGCTTTCATCGAGAGAAGACACATCGGTTGACTGGCTTCCTGAAGGCTTTCACCAGCCCGCTGTGTCATTTCGCCTCTCCAGTTTGAGCGAAGAATAAGATTTTTATTTGAAGTCTTTGTATTTTTAATATATTTTCTGTGTATTGAAGTTTCTTTAGTGGTTTGATAGGTTTAGTGGTGTGGGGCTGCTAACCCAACGCCCAACCCCCCTCTTTACCCGGGCTTGGGACAGGCTACAAGACTAGCGAGCTAGTAAACTAGGTCATGACTGTCAGTCAGTAGAGACAAAATACTTTTGTCTTTTTTTCTTCATAATTGATTCATGAATTGCCACTTATTGACTTATTTCAATTTTAATCATTTATAGGACACTACTCAAAAAGCTGCCACAGCAATCATATTCGATTTGAAACGTGAAGGCAAACTATAAATCATCATCGAAGTGTACATTTGTATTCAGGATTCAATTTATTTATTTATTTATTCATTCATTCACTCATTAATTTTTCAATCTTGTTTTATCATTACTTCATCTTAACAATATTAGAAACAAATGACTATTATTATTATCATTATAGTTATCATTATTCATATTATCATTTCAAACAAAGTGCCTATAGACGATACATTATCTTCACTTATAGTGGATTATTTTCATTGTAAATTAAAGAATAAACCTGGTTGATTCTATTTCCATTCTGTAAACATCTGACAGTTATTGTCATTTTATGCTAAAATATTTTAAAAGAAGTTGTACAACAAAAATTGCCAGTGACAGTTTTGATGATATGACCTATTGATTGATGCATCCAACATTGTACTACTGGATAACGGGTTGGAAATCTACGTTAACTAAACAAGGTTTTAGCAGTCAGTCGACATGACACATTGCCACATGTACGATGTGTTCTACTGACAGTTAAATGTTGTATGTGTGTGTGTGATGTGCTCTTCAAGTGTCTTGAATAGCGACGAAGGCGAATATTTTTGTGGAAAAGGAGAAATGAAAGTCACTGTGAAACAATATAGGAAGCATGAGATGAAAATAGAGGAAGAATCAGAATACGAACAACTTTCAATAATTGCGATTTCCGGGGAGGTTTGTATATATATTTTACTGTCATTTTGAGAAGTGAACAACTCTGTTAGTAGGTACCTCTGTGTCCTGCCGTACTTGGCATTGTTAATTAGTGTACCTGACACTGGTGAATTGGAGAAATAACTTTCACATGTTGATATTCGTTGCTCACATTGTTACTCTCTCTCGATCAACTCACTGACATTTTGTTGTTGTTGTTGTTGTTGTTTTCATACGGCTAAAATCTTTGAAGCTTTCAAAAGTGGCGTTGTTTATATGGGGTTATGTTATTATTCTCACGCCTAAGCTATCTTCATTTTTATGGCTTAATATTGGTTAGTTAGTATCCTTAACTGAACTTAACAACTTAGGAATCGACTTGTTACCAGGGAATAGTCTTATGGACTTAGAATGTGCAGATGACATAGTCCTGTTAGGGAGGATGCTGACAAAATGCAGAGTCTTCTGAACACCTTGAGCAGCAATCTTCGTATGTTTGGCATGCGATTCGTCCCTGTAAAGTGTAAGATGCTGCTACAGGACTGGACTACGTCTACCCCTAGCTTAGTGATAGAAAGTGAAATGATAGAACATGTTGACCACTTCATCTATTTGGGAAGTTGTATCAGCACCAACGGATTGATTGGTGACGATATCTCAGCACGGATCCAAAAAGCTCGAGCTGCTTTCGCTAACTTACACCATCTCTGGCATAGGCGTGACATCCGGCTGTCAACCAAGGGACGTGTATACTGCTCAGCAGTTCGCTCCGTCCTTCTCTATGGCGGTGAGACGTGGCCATTGAGAGCGGAAGACATGAAAAGGTTGACTGTTTTTGACCACAGATGTTTACGATCCCTTTCTCGCGTTAGGTGGTATAATAAGGTAAGTAATGTTGACGTTAGGCGTAGAGTGTTGGGCAAAGAGGGAAAATCACTCGAAGAGGCTATAAAGTTACATAGATTGAGATGGTTAGGCCACGTGCTGCGCATGCCTTACTATCGCCTCCCCCGACGGGCATTACTAGCTGATATAGGTGCAGGTTGGAAAAGAGTAAGTGGTGGCCAAACAAAAACATGGCATCAGTCCATGAAATCCTTGACAGTTAAACTGAGTCAGGTAGGGAGATGCAGAATTCCAGGTTGGGGCCCTCGGGGCTCTAAGAATCAATGGCTGGAGACAATAGGTGACATGGCTCAAAATCGTTGTCAATGGCGCAGATGTATTCAGTCTCTGTAATATTCAGTCTCATATTCCTTTCTACCATTACTCATTCTGTTTCACTCTTGTATTTGTCAAAACTCTATTGATTCTCTTCACTCATTTTCTTGTCTACCTCTGTGTGCTATTTGGAACGTGGCAACTCGAACTGCTGCACTTTGGTGCCAAGTTCTATATTGAATCCAGACAGACAGACAGTCAACTAGGCGAGCTTTATGATTACATCGACTGGGAATTGAAGCGAACCACTTGAGTGGTTGCCAAGCATTCTACTATTCAGCCACCAACATAAACTGATGACAACAAGGATGAAAATATGTCACTGTGACATAACAGTAAGATTGTGACGTATATGAAACGGTGTGTATGTTCTGTGTTGCCTTCCATGAAGATGATTCTTCTGCTTATAGTTTATTTTCAGATGGTTCGTTGAGGAGAATCCAAAGTATAATTTTATACTTTATGGTAAATTAATTGTACTTCACTGCGAAATATGCACACACACACACGCACAAAGAAAACGCGGGAAAACGAATTACTTTAACCTGATGACAAAATGTCAAACAGGGATTTTATATTGAATACTACAATAACATGCAGCTAGCTGTTAGTACGGTCATTGTAGTGCTTTGATACACACATGCATAATCTACAGTGCTGTCCTCCATTTAAGTGCTTCCAGCTTCTCCTATGATATTGTCACTAGAATGTATTTCATTCTCGAGCTACATTTAGCAGGACTAGTGGTCGCGTGCAGCTCATACCAATCAATAATAGTATAGCATATATCGATTTGACATAGTGTTCGGTACTTAGAAATGAAGGAATTGAAAGTACTTTAGAACTCATCATCCTGCATACTTGAAAATATCATTCAAATGAAATATGTGGAAGATGTTTCTGTTACCAGGATAACTGAGTATGCTAAGAAAGATTATCTAATCAAATATTTGAGGTATATTTTACTCTGAATATCTATCAATCAACGTAATACAGCTTGAATATTTATCAGTACATGTATGGAAGCATATACAAATCACTGTGCCTCACATACCTACAGCAGTACTACTGATGAACAGGATGAGTACTACCCATGTATGATAACACCTGACAGTAGGGACAGTTGATTCCATTATTCTGAAAGATAATCAGGTTATGATGTTATCGCACATAGATACTACTGAGAAACCACGATTTCAAAAGAAGTCAATATACAGACACAAAAAAAGAATTTTCTGATTTCCTTTATTTATTTTATTCCTTTGCATTCCGAGTGAAACACTGAACTCGAAGCTTGTGGTTCGAATTTTCAGTAGCACTCGTGGTCCTTGCACGGGATGGGGTTACTAAACTCGCACCCAACCTCCTGTCTTCATATTCGGCTTACTTACGTCTAAGCAAGGTTTAGGATTGAGTTAACCGGAGGAACCTGAAAGAAACAACCTCTTTTACCTACCTACCTGAGAAGCCTCGTTTCAACTACAGGCGGATGGAACTGACGAGGATATCAAAGCAGCGACGATCGGGAAAGCAAGACAAGCTTTCACTACTCTCAAGTCTGTGTGGAGGTTAACAGCACTCAGCATCAAAAATAAGATCCGGATTTTCAACTCCAATGTGAAGTCAGTGCTACTATACGGATCAGACACTTGCACTGCGCGTCATAAAGAGCATCTCAAACAAACTACAGACCTTCATTAACAGTTGTCTTCGCTCAATACTCAAGATCAGATGGCTGGCCAGAAAAGATCAGCAACAGGTATCTTTGGGAGCGAACCAACCAGGAACCGATTGTGAAACAAATAGGCAGGAAGAAATGGAGATGGATTGGCCATACTCTTAGGAAACCATCAAGTGACATCACTAGACAAGCCATTGCTCGAGTGGAATCCGAAAGGGAAGCGGCGAGTTGGTCGTCAGTGCAAGGGTGACTTGGAGGAGGTCATGTGAAGAGGAGATGAAAACGTGTGGGCAGACATGGAGCCAGGTGAAGACTCTAGCAGAGAACCGAAGGCAATGGAGACGCGCGGCCGAAGCCCTATGTTCCTGTAGGAATTAAAGGATACAATAATAATAATAATAACCGGAGACTGAACACGGCACTATATTAGGGATTGGTCCATATTGCGTCTCTTAACCAGCGACGCAAAAACAATTTTATGAAGTCAACATAAATCAGGTGATTCATCAATAATTACCTCCCTCTTTCAATCACTTTCATGAATAAAGCCAATAACCAGCCTCACAGTTCTTAACCGCCACATACATACACACGTATGAGTATTCCACTCTGAATTAAACCATTTACCATTCGAACAACTCCATTCCATTCACCATCTCATCACCCTTGCTTATCTATCCTACCCACTTCAGATTATCAAAGCACACTGCTTTATTGATTTCACTGACACTGTGTGTGTGTGTGTGCGACAGATGATATGACCTCGTTCTGACAGGTGGTAGGCAGTAGTGTAAGTCAAAGCAAATTCCACAATTATTTCAGTAACAATTCTATTCAATATTCACTGCGCCTACATCCAGACAGCATCCTGTTTATTTGGGTCATATTCTAAGCAACAGACACGGACAGAGAGAGTGATAAGAAACATTTTTTTAGAATTTTGTAGTCAATCCAGGTCACACATAAAATACCTTCTTTTATATATTGTCATAATTATCCAGGAAATGTGTTTGTTGTGTTGTTTCCGCGACATTGTATGAGTTAATGAATGTGAGGCAAACAATGAGTAGGTGAAGACGGCACTAAACACTTTTGTTACTCAGCTTGTATTATAATTGTCGTAAAGTGTATATTCAGAACTTTTGATGTTGACCAACTAGTAAATCGTAAAGGTACTAATGTTTAGTAGGATTTAGACGTGCTTTATCCATATAAATCTAAGATCACTAAGTTGGTAATTTGCTAAAACATTTGAAGTGCACAGCAATATCTTCGGGCGTTTAGCATCCACTACAACGGTAGAAAACGAGACTTGGTATCAGGAATGTTTATTTGCAATTTGGTATCTCTTTATAGCCAAACTATGTACATCTTACCTTCAGCGCACCATTTGCACAGGTCTTCCGTCTTGTTCTACCTCTGGCCTTCATATTGTGTTTCTTTGTGTTCTTTTCACGTCTCCCGTGTATCTCTCCGCAACGCTGTATCATTTACCTTCTCTGAAATCAAATGTATCTCCCTGCTGTTTGGTGTTTTTATCCCGATGAACGTCTTTTTATATTTTTTTTTATTCCTTCACATTCCCAGTGGAACATAGGGCTCCAAGCTAGAGGCTTGAAGATTCTGTAGCAGTTTTTATTTTTACAGGATGGGGTTGCTAACCTCATGCTCAACCTTCCCTCTTTGCCAGTTCTATTACTGGCTTAGCGAGGTAAAGGAGTGTGTCGGCCGGGGATCGAACCCCGGACCATGTGCATGGTCGGCGAGCATCCTAACCGCTGTGC